TCTCGAACTGCCTCTTGTTTGCTAAAATGACATATGGTATATATTCATCTTCCTGGTGTTACAAACAGCTGTTAAAATGTCTAGGTTCCTATGAATCTGATGTTGTGTCCCACTGTACGGTAGATAGTGTATACCATTCCATCAAGTGATCCTTCTCCTCTGAACGGCTTTGAGCAACAAGCTGGACAACTGAAAAAACATGTAAGGTAAATCAAAGCCATTCTCAGTGCCCAGCTCACACAGCCCTCCTGATAATCGTCAAGGCATCGCTCAGGAAGATGGGTGTTTGTCACAAAACACATTTTCCTGTCTTTACAGCAAAATGTTGTGTCTTCCAGCGGATGCCTACAAATACCACCGCCTTTTGACATACAGTGTCTTCTCTTTTCTGATTTAATCAGCATCTCCACTTATGTAGTCCAGTGTAGTTATGTGCTTTCCTCTTTGTGACATTGATTATATTCATGTAATGCATTTACTTGTGAAAAAGTCAATTTGAAACATTGTTGCAGTTGAAAGCGCACAAAAAGAGTACTTTAATTTTAAAATTATTAATCTATCTGGATATATAACATTCCAGTGAAATTAAGAAGAAAAAGAAGAACACAAGGAAGAAGGGTGAAGAAAGATGGTAAAAAGGACAACAAGAAAGGCAAGAAAGAGTGTAACTAAAGCAGTGTTCCCATTGGACTTGTTTTGGTTTAACCTACCGCGACTTTCCTGTTGAATGAGAATATCAAGTCCAATGGGGACAGATGGTAAGTAATGTTCCTGTCAAATTACCGTAACCGTGATGTGAAACTACCTGGCTGAAAGTGGTCATGGAAGAGTTCTGCGCAGCCACGGTAAATATCTGGGAGCTGAAAAGTCCAATGGGAACAGCCCTGTACTGTAAAAGTTCTGCAACCATACTGTAAAACACTAACCAAACAATAGTGCTTTCCTGTAGTACTTCAATCCACAGCGAACACCCACAACACAGCACTTGTGAGAAAATGAAACGGTTCCTTGTCTCATTAATGTGTATGGTGTAACAGACGACTGTATACAGTGCATGTACCTTTTTAGTTTGTTTTATAAGTCCTTATTAAGGTGTTTTTATCGTTCTAAAATGACTCCTACGACCTTAGGGCAATTCCACGGTTACTAACGGCACCTTTTTGATGTACTTTTGAGTTTCTTTGGGCGGTAATTATAGTCCCTGGGATAGGGCCATTTAATCTCAAAATGTTATGATTAATCTTATAGTCAGGCAGCTTAGTGAATGGATGTGGACATTCCGGACAAAAGCGCCAAATTTTCCATACATGCTCCTTAATCCTTAGCTTTCAATTTTTGATAGGAACCAACTTATCCAATGACATTATGGCAGCCATCTTGGATTTTAAAGATGGCGGCCATTAAAAATCTATATCTACCAATATCTCATCTTCTAAGCCACTGAGGATTAAAGTTTTGGTGTCTAAACATACATTTTCAGGGTCAAGGAATGCAACTGTACCATTTGGGATAGTGTTAAATGGTTAGTTTATCCAAATACAGTGTTGTGGCCATCTTGTATTTGAAACATGGCCACCATTTAAAACCTAAATCTCCGAATACGTGTATTGCATCTTTAAGCCACTAAGGATCTAAATCTTGGTGTCTACCCATATATTTTCAGGGTCATGGAGCGCAACTAAACAATTTGGATTAGTACTACATATATTTCAGATCGTGTCAAATGGTCAGTTTGTCCAGATACTTAAACGGCGGCAATATGGTTTGCTGTCAAAGGACCAACACTGGCCCGATTCAGGCTATGTACCCTTTTGCCATTATGGTTTGACTTGAAAGGGCCGCACCGGTCACATTCAGGTTGTGTACCGTCTTGCCATTATGGTTTCCCATAAAGGGACCAACATCGGCCCGATTCAGGACTTTTACCGTCTTGGTTTATCGTAAGAGGACCTGCAATGGCTGGTTCAGGCTGAGCGCCGTCTTGCTGTTATTGTTTGCCTTAAAAAGACCAGCACTGGTCCGATGCAGGCTCTGAACGGTGTTACCATTACCGTTTGCCATTTATTAGGGCGCGTTTTGGCGCAATCGAGCCAGCATTAGCCCGCTTCTGGTCTTGTACCGTTTAAACTGTATGGTACTGCCATAACAAACCCATAATTAGATGGTATCGGCCCAATACCGTCCTGTTTACTGGGTCTATGCCATCTTTGAACCTAGGCAGGTAGAAATCTCTGGCACTACAGGATGTGATACAACTCTGCCTCTCCACAACTACATGCAGCTGAACCACTTTTGCAGCTCCATTTGATTAAGGCGGGTCTGTGATCGGCTAGTCCTGGTTCTCAAGCGGCTGATAGTTTTCCATTGAACCCATGTCGATGTAGTACCTGTGGGGAGGTTTTCCCGCCGTTGTTATAGTCTAACCATGACAATCGGTGGGCGTTTGCTCCCAGTCGTTGCTTCCAGTGTTGGAGTCTTGCCACTTCCCGGGCAGGCGCGGTTCTAGAACCAATATTTGGGGGGGGGCTAGCACGGTGGATCCAGAATTTTTTCAGGGAGGCGTGCTGAAATGTTGACCAGTTATTTTTTCCAGACACTTACGCCTCCGAAAGTCAATAGGTGGGGGGGGGGGGGGGGGCCTATTTAGAGTTTGCTTATTAGCCCCCCCGTAGAACCGCACCTGTTCCCGGATGTTGTGAAGCAGTGGACATGGCTGAGGAAGCTTTTCTTGACTTCAGCCTTTTGTGCCGAAGCTTGCCGTCCCTGGAGGAGGCGACACTCGTCATTTATCAGTATTTGGACATCTGAGCTCAGCTGGCAACTTCTCTTCAGAAATCCGAAGAGGAAATGCCAGTAAGGAGGTGCAAATTACTTGTGTTGGTGGGCTTCAAGCATCCAGTGATCAAACTGCATGTTGTTTAAAGCTGGATCAGGTTTCATGGTATGGGCTGATCTTTCCCAGAGGGGCACGCATACTCTGCTGAAGAATGGCGCGGAGCCAAAACGGTTCATCTTAGGGTGTGTGGTTTGGCTCCCCTTTCGGAGGCTGTTCAATTTCTTCATGATGTTGTTACGGTGAACTAAGTTTGGATGACTTGTATGACAGGATACGGTGGAGGGTCACCCTAAGGTAGACAGGAAGGCTACAAGGGGCCAATGGTGTTCCGGACCATTTGATGTTAAGGGGTCGGTTGGCTTCGCGGTTAACGTTCCTGAGATGGAACGAGCAGACTTGGGTCTTAGCGAGATTGGTACAAGAGGTGATTGCGCTCATAGAGACGGCTAAGTGCTGAGTAAGTTTTGCTTCTATGGCTTCAAACGGAATCTTTTGAGATGTAACACAAAGATTGTCTGCGCAGATGAAACGCTCAGTGTCCTGGTCTCAATGAAATTGTGATATTTTTGTGTAGACGTACAGCAACGGATCTAGCCCAGTGCCTTGAGGCAGGCCGATTTTTTGCCGTCGACAGCGTTTTTTTTTGTGTGTTCTGAACAACAAACAAGCATCTGTCTTTGAGAAGGGCTCCGATATGGTCCGTAAATGCGAGGTATTGGGACAACTCCAAGATCTTTTTCAGGAGGCGGCAGTGGTAATTACAGTCTTATTGTGACCGAAAGATCCACCAAAATAGCTCCACTTATTTGTCGTTTTGAAACCCATCCTCAGCGTGTTGTGCCAGATTAAGAGTTGGCTTGTTGTTGACTTGCAATGTCGCAATCCAGGTTGCTGAGGGATAAGGATGTTTCAGCAATGGGGACAAGCCTGTTTAGGATCAGGCACTCGAACATGAACAAAAACAGTAATGGGTTCCTGTCTGGACCATGTTACCTGTGGC